TCATGGGAGGGGGGACAGGGGGGTATTTTTAATGCTATCTACAGGAGACAGATTCCAGCCCCAGCTAGGAGGCTACAGTTGTCCTTGTACTGGAGCAAGTTGCCAGCAGAGGGGGTGAGGACCCTGTTATTGCATGTGTTCACCAGAGCCTGGATCTCTCTAGGACAGCTCCTTTTGGAGTCTGTTCTAAAGGTCTGCAGTAGCCTCCTCAGTCCAAGGTCCTTAACAGTCTAGGACAGAATGAGTGGTGCTCCTAAGGTCACCCTCTGCCTTCTCTGGAGACCTCTAACCCAAACTATCCTCAGAGATAGGGCTCAGGTTTCCCAGGTTTTTTAGGCCAAAGCAAATTCTAGGACTTCCCTGCTGTGTGGAGTCTCACAGTGATGAGAAGGAAGAACCACCAGCCCTAGCGGATCAGGAGGGGTCTCGGAGGTGAAGCAGGGCCAAGCGTCAGGCTGGGGAGCAGGATGGCTCCGTGCCTCTCTTCCCAGGACCCTCTGGGCCAGGGCAGTGCATAGCTCCCTCCAGGACGAAAGCCTCTCCCTTCCCTCCCTTTGATGGGACTCAGGGGCCAGTTGTGTTCCTGAGAGAAGTCTGAGATCAGGGGAGTGAGCAGCAGAGACTGTGAGGAGAACACAGAGAGTGTGTCAGGTCTGCGGAGACAATGAATGGAGGAGGGGGAACTCTGGAAGGGACACTGGCCTGTCCAGGGCAGCTGGGGGCAGGGGAGGTATATTTATCTCCTGAGTTGGTAGTAGTAAAAATAACCAGGGGCCCTGAGTAACCCAAGCTTCCCAGTCTTCTAGGCTGCTGTGGAGTCCATCCATGGAGACTAGAAGGATGGTGTAATGAGGGTGAAGGGCACAAGGCAAGGGAGGTCCCCTGCAGCCCTGTCCCCCACAGGGGCTGCTGCCTGCAGGGGCTGAAAGGCTGGTGGCCCACAGGCTGGCTGGAGGGGTTGGGAGGGAAGAGGAGGTGGAGGGGAGCCAGGCAGGAACAATGCTGGCTCCCAGCCAGGAGTTGAGTTGAGTGGGGGACTAGGGAGAGTAGGGAAGGGGAGAGAAGGAGAGAAAGAGAAGACAAAGAGAAAAGTTTGTTGGAGTTTTCCTGCCTGGGTTTGTGCTCTAGCCTCTTCTCAGGCCCTGAGCCCCTGGGGGAAGGAGCCTGCCCTGTCACCTGTGAGGAGCAGGAGGCTCTCAGCCTCTCAGGAGGATTTCTCAAAGGAACCGGGCACCTCTGGGAAGGTGTGAGCCACTGTGGGCTGGTAAGTCCCAGCCTCCACGGTTGTGGGACCTGTTCTTGCCAGAGACAGAATGCTAGACATGATGACCTCACTTTCTGCCTGTGTTTCCACAGCTCCTTGGCTGACTCCTGTGCTGGGATGGCAGCAGGACAATTGCAGGAGTTTCCCTCAAAGATTTAGCCTGTGTTTGCAGCAGTGAGGAAGGGGCCTGAGCAGAAGTCAGGCCAGCATTGGATGGAGGCAGCTGAACAGGCTGGCATGACTGGAGAGGGCTCTGCTAGGCATCTGGTTCCCCTAACCTTGTCCTGGGGGCCACCCTGGCTCTAGAGCAAGGGGGTGAGTGAGGCAAGAAACTCATGCTTGGTTTCGTAGGGCTCAGAAGACACTTTGTCAGTGGTGGAAGGAGCTCTGAGTCAGAGTCCTCCATCCTGGCTGGGTCACAGTTGGTGCTCAGCACTTTCCCAGGGAATAAATGCAGTCCGGCTCCGTGTGGCTGTGTACCCCCGGTGCATCCCAGAAGCCTGCTAACAGTCATGATCATCATGTCCGGGTTTGACAGAGGTGGGGCAGCCTGGCTCCTCTGGACCTCCTTATCTCAGGCACATCCCTGGTGAGCTGAGGTCACTTGGTAGGCTGAGCTGGACACCTGAGGGATCTCCTGGGTCCTTGTTGCCCCAGGCTGGCCCAGGGAGTGTAGCTCTTCTCCCAGGCAGCTCCGAGCATGACTATGAAGCAGACTGACGTTTCTTCCCACCCAAGCACCCTCCCTTGCTGGGGAGGAAGAGGATGTGGTGGGGTCAAGCTGACACCTGTTGGGGCTGGCAGGTTTGTGGGAACCTGCACTACTCCTCCTACAGGCGGATGATTTTCCTGACCCCTGCCCACCTCCAGCCGGCCATGCCTTCTTGGGGTTCTCATTTAATTTGGTTTCATCTCACACAACGAGTGGCACAGCCCCTGAGATCCCTTCTTTCTGGGACTCTGCTCTCCAGTTCTAGAATTCCCAACTTCTAAGATTGCACCTTGGGTGGCAAAAGGCAGGTCTCCTTTCCGGGACAGCTGTCAGCTTGAGTCACCAGCCACAGGCCGCCTGGCTTACACATCTCTCACCGCAGAGGCTGGCGTGGGAGCCCAGGCTGCATCTACACTGATGCCCCCGGATGGCTTCCAGCATCTTTGCCTCTCTGCCCTGGGGTCTCCCCACTCTCCCAGAGGCTGGAGGAAGCTGACCATTTGGAAGGATGGGATAGGAGCAAAGAGTGACCTGAGGTTTCAGGGCATCAGGCAAGGACAGAGGTCAGGCAGGCATTTGATGAGGTGTGGGAAGAATGCAGATGACCATTTGCAATCCCTTGCCTTGGAGGAGTAGGGGCTGTCCTCCCAGGGATGAGAAAGAAGGGCAGAAGGTCACGGAGATGAGTGATGGCTGAAGAGGAGAGCGGGGCTGGGGTTAAGTGGGGTCAACTGTCTCTCACCAGGCCCCCTTCAGTGCCAGTGCTGGGCAAGGGGCTGAGACACTGTGAAGTGCAATGGGGAATCAAAGTAGCTGTGGGGCTTGGGAAAGGGACCAGGCCATGGGAAATGGAGGGGTGCGGGAGAGGTGCCTCTTTCTGGACACCCAGGGAAAAACTCAAAGGGGGCCCTGCCTCATGCCAGGCTTTTCTGGAGGAATGCAGCAAGGGACACAGGAAGCACAAAACAGGGTGAGGGCTCCTTAGCTTCATCCTTTGAGCAAAAGCAATGGGGCCACAGGGTTTACCCAGAACTGGGAGATCAGGGTTAGGAAGACCCAGCCTGGTCCTGGGCCATGGCAGAGATGCCAGGGAAGGGAGAGGTGCCCCCTGCCATCCTGGCCTGGGGAGACCTTGGCAGCTTGGCAAGGGGTGGGGTGCTGTCGCCTGCCAGGTTTCTGCTGCTGCCTGGGAAGGGCCCAGCCCAGAGATCCTTATCCAGGGCAGGAACAGAACAGGTTTCTCGACTGGCAGCGCCAAGGGGGACAGGGCAAGAGGAAGCCAAAAGGTCAGGAGGGCAGTGCCAGTCCTGAAAGAGAGGCAGGAAGGCCTGGCCAGGGGGCCCTGTGGGTCCACAGACCTCTCTCAGCTTCTCTGCTGAGGCTGTGTCACTCCCTTGGTTGGCTCCCAAGTGCCTATGAGGAGTCATCTGTATATTTGCTCTCCATATGAAGGACCTCCTGTCCCTTGATGCCCCCCACCCTTTCCCTCATGCTCAGGTGGGATGCCCGGCCAGGAGAAATACCTGGTTGGACTCAGCTCCTCCTCCCCGCCCCTCCCCCAACCTCCTCCACACTCTGCAGGCCCCTGAGGTCACTGTGGGGAGGCCAGGGGAGCCAGAGAGGGACTCAGGCGACTGCTCAGAGGCAGCTCCCTTTCATCCCCTGCCACAAAAGGCCTGTCGCCCCAGTCTCATCCATCTTGTGTCTGCTGAAGCCCTTAGGCAGCTCTTTGTCAGGATCCAGGGTCAGAAGGCCTGGGTGGGGTCCCCATCCCCTCTCCTCTGACTCTTCTGCCCCCTCCTGAGCATCTCAGCCCCCTAGGTCTGGAGCTCCCAGGCTTTCTTCTTGTCACCCTCTCCTGACCCCATCCTTTCCTCTTTTCCTGAGCGGCCTCTTCTCCCCATCCCCTTTCCACTGTGGGGGCTCCCTATCTCTGGATTTTTCTCCCCTAGGCTCCTGTGTCTTGTGGAGTCAGCGTCTGGGACTGGGGCTTCTGAAGCCCACTGGGCTATGAGCTCCACCTGTGTTTGTCCTCTCTGGTCAAAGCTGTGCCTGGAATTTCTGGTTTTGACATGGGTGGGCCCTGGGCCCTCCCTTCATCTTCCCACTGCTGTCTCTTGGGGCTGAGAGAGAAGGCTTGTCTCTGCCCCATTTTCCCTAAGATGTTGTTGTTTCCCCCAGTGCCTGTTGGTGCCCTCAACTGGCCTGTTAGCTCTCAGCCCCTGGGAGACTCAGTGTGCCCACTTGGGCCCCTCCCTGGTGTCTGCCCTATGGCTCTGTCTGGCCCCTGCTCTTGTCCTTCCAGCTCTGGGAAGTCTGGGCTTGAGAGATAAGTGGCTGTTCTTTCAGAGAAAAGCATCTCACAAGAATTTTACAGGTGGAGGGTGGAAGATTCTAGCATTTTCTCCAGAAACCCGGCTGATTCTAGAAGATTCACATAATAGAAAAGGAGCACAAGGGGGAGCAAAGGGGACTTTCTGTGGGGAGGCAGGGAGACTTTGACCCAGTCTTCCATTCCGTGACTATCACCTACCTCCCTGTCAATGAAGCTGGCAGAGGGCCTGGGAGATGGCTCAGTAGGATAAGCGCTTCTCTGGCAAGCACAAGGGTCTGAGTTCAATCCCCGGTTCCACGCCCCCCCCCAAAAAAAAATCAGGTTGGCAGGCAGGAAGTGCCCAAGAAGCAGAGGAAGAAAAGGACCAGTCCTGGCTTTGCTTTCAGGGAGAATCACCCACCACCTGCCCTCAGGGACCTTCTGGGAAAAAGAGAGACCTCTTCTTGATTCTTTTCCTAACAACTTTATTTCAGGATTCGTGCTTCCATTTCTGAAAACACCCACCAGCTCTCCAGTGACCAAAGACAAAACACCCAAGGCCATTCCCGTACCTCCTGCCCTTTCACGCTGTCCTGTCCTCTCTGCCTCCCCCCACCCGCCAGTCTGCACCCTCCACCCTGTGGCCCATCCTCCAGCTCTCCATCTCCACCTGTAGTAGGAGGGAACACTAAAACCACTAACAGAGGGAAGGAGCAAGAGCTCCTCAAGATGCAATGCCTGACCACACCCACACTGCTGCGTGCCCTGGCCCAAGCTTTGCGCACAGGACATGCTGCTGGCCGGAGCCTCCACAGCAGTACCATGGTAGCAACCTACAAGTATGTGAATTTGCAGGAACCAGAGATGGACATGAGGTCAGTGACTGACCAGGCGGCTCGGACCTTGTTGTGGACTGAGCTCATCCGAGGCCTGGGCATGACTCTGAGCTACATGTTCCGGGAGCCAGCTATAATCAACTACCCATTTGAGAAGGGCCCACTAAGCGCACGCTTTCTAGGGGAGCACGCTCTGCGCCGTTACCCATCTGGGGAGGAGCGCTGCATCGCCTGCAAGCTTTGTGAGGCTATCTGCCCTGCTCAGGCCATCACCATTGAGGCCGAGCCCAGGGCTGATGGCAGCCGCCGGACCACCCGCTATGACATTGACATGACTAAGTGTATCTACTGTGGCTTCTGCCAGGAGGCCTGCCCTGTGGATGCCATAGTGGAGGGCCCCAACTTTGAGTTCTCCACTGAGACGCATGAGGAACTGCTGTACAACAAGGAGAAGCTGCTGAACAA